AGAGAAATTCAGATAACCTATGGTGAACATAATGAAGTCAGTGCAATGAATGTAAAAACTCAGGGATCAAAGAAATTTGGAGGAGGCAGAGGTTTTTGTAGAAAGTTCGATGTAAGCAAGGAAGAGAAGAGAAATCAATTTTGCACACATTGTAACACCACAGGACATAACAGAGATTGCTGTTTTAAATTGATTGGATATCCGAATTGGTTTAAACAACTAAGTGAGCAAAAGAGAAAATATGGAGGAAGACTTTCTGCTTATATGGCAGATTCACCACTGGAGATGGGAAGTGAAATAAAAACTGGGGGAATTGAAGAACAATGCAGAAATCTGAACATGTCAGAAATTGTCAAACAGGAGCTTAGGAAGATGGTGACTGGAAAGGGAACCAACACTGGTGCAGGAAGCAGTGTAAATTTTGCACATATTGATGATTTTGCAGGTTCATCCCTTAAACTCGAATTTAATTCTGCTCTAAGTGCTTCCAACTTGATAGGATCTAGGTCGTGGATTGTTGATACTGGAGCCTCCAATCACATGTGTAATGATATCTCATTTTTAAAAAAATCCTATACCTGCTAACAAGTCCATTCCTGTCTTCCTTCCTGATGGAACTATAAATTTTGTTGAACACTTTGGAAATGTTCATCTACATGATAACCTTATCCTCAATGATACTCTTCACATCCCTACTTTTAGATTCAACCTACTGTCTGTAAGTAGGTTAACAAAGCCTTAAATCTGAAATTTATCTTCATGAAGGATCATTGCCTTTTGCAGGACCTGTTGACTGAGGAGATAATAGCTGTAGGAAGGCTGATTAAAAACCTATATGTACTTGATGAAACCTCTTTCTGTACATCTACCATACAGCACTTTACTTCCATTGCTTGTAATATTTCCTTTTCAAATAATTCTTCTCTTGTTGAAAAAAAGAAAAAAACTACAGATGAGTCGGTTACTCTTTGGCATAGAAGGCTAGGACATGCTTCTGGAAATGTCATGAAATATCTGAAAATGATGAGTTCTTTCAACAAAGAGATCCTTTTGCCATGTGATGTTTGTTCTTTTTCTAAACAACATAGGCTATCTTTCAATAGCTGTGATATCAAAACTTTTAAAATTTTTGAAATCTTACATGTGGATTTATGGGGGCCATACAAACATAGATCTATCTATGGTGCACACTATTTTTTAACTGTGGTTGATGATTTCAGTCGTGGCACTTGGACTTTTTTGATCAAGCATAAAACTCAAGTTCTTATTATGATTAAGAATTTATACAAAATGGTTAAAACTCAGTTTGAAAAAACCATAAAATGTTTCAGGACTGACAATGGTACAGAATTTACAAACTTTGAATTTAGGAATTTTTTGGCTGAAAATGGTATTCATCATCAGAAAAGCTGCCCTTATACGCCTCAGCAAAATGGTGTCGTAGAGAGAAAGCATAAACACCTCTTACAAATTGCTAGGGCTCTTATGTTTCAGTCAAGTTTGCCAAAACATTTTTGGGGAGAATCTATTCTCATGGCAACACATATCATAAATAAACTACCCACA